ATTAACCCTATGATTTCATGTGCTTGCAAGCCTCCTGTTGATGAACTAGAATTACTTCATTTTTAGAATGATTAAAGTTGTTCGGAGTTGCTGTATGAAGTCATTTTGGCCGAAAATTGACTTTTACAAAAATGACCATTTTATCCCTGAAATCATTTTTAGCCAAAAACTAACTTTTTAACCCCAAAGAAATAGGGAAACAAAGTTGTGTCTTGATTAATGACATTTTTCAAAATTTGTAGCAGATTTTATAAAAGAAACATTGCTTGAGAGATAATTCAGAATTATTTAGGCCACAAGCAAGCTAAGGGCATGGGACCCCACACTAGTGCATGCATGGACGACATACATACCGAGACAGGCTATGCGCACGCACATGAGTTGTATGCATGCACATCCATTCATGGTAGAGCTAGTTTTGGAAACTCAATCTTGGTGAAATCAAGGAAGAGGCGGCAAGGGAATGCGATAGGAAGCCCTATAGTGCTCCCCAAGCTTCCTTTTTTCCTATAAAAGGAGCCCATCCCCCTCCTTTGCAAAATGGGTAGTATTTTGAGAGAATTTGGTGAGTTTTGATAGAGTTCTATCACCTCATCTTCCCTCCCTTTGCCTTAGCTCTGAAAATATCACCTCCTACAGCAACTTTAACAACTGAAAATCATCTAAAGCTTGGAACTATTGAACTAACTCAGAAACCTTAGCTTGAGAGAGGCTTGCAAGCAAGAAAACACAAGTTTTCTTGCACTTTTCTTCACTTGCCTTCAGTTGATTCAAACCAACGAGTAAAATCCTTTCTTTTATTAATTTCAATACTCTTTTAGTCTTTATTTCAATAGTCTATCATTACTAGGGTGCTAGGGGTGTTAGTTTATTATCTTATCATGTAGGGTGTTAGTTTTGCTAAGTTTTTCACCTTATTTCGCACGCTTTCTTTATTTTTTTAATCTGTTTGTTTAGGCTTGCTTAATCATGTGGAAATCATGCATTAAGCCTGGTTTGAATCATCATGTAGTTAGTCTATATTTTCCTTTTTACTTGTTATTTGCTCTTTATTGCATATAGATCATTCTAAGTAGCCTCAAACGGGCTTAGGGTCATTGTTTGTATAAATAGGTGTGCATTAGGTCATGTTTATTTAATGTAATGCATGAAAAGTGCTTGAGTGGGCATCCGGGTAAGTTTCTCAATCCCCATAGTATGTACTTTGTCATTGTTGCATTGTCTTTTTCCATAATCCAAGTCATGTGCTCTTTCCATACAAAATTGTTTGTTTTGAATGCTTTTTTGAATATTTCTTAGTTTGGTTCAAGTTTATGGCCATATAACTTTAAAAATATCTTTTTAATAGAAAAATCTTTGTTTTTGGTAAAGATGTGGCCTTATTTATGGAATCTAAATTGAGTGATCTTTATTTTGATTCAAGTCATTTAGTTTTTAAGGTAGTAATGGTTTTATGTTGAGAATGAATTGTATGAAATAATTAATCACTAAAATCATAAAATAGAGAATTAGTAGAGGCCAATCTCTGAATTGGGCAAAAAAGGGTGCTTTCATTTCATGACCTTCCCCTTTTGTACCTTAGCTCCCGAATCGGCAATCTTTGGTAATGACGGATCAGGTTCTTAGCTTAGTTTTCATTGTTAAAGGTTTCTTAATTCCCCATAAAAATTAAGTGGCGACTTTTTTGATGTAGGATTAGCAAGTCAGCACAACATGGGTGGAAACCTACCTTATACTCGAAAAAGGCACGATGTCCACATGCATCGCTAGAGATTGTGCCATCTTCTCTTTTCAAGGTTGTCGTCGATCACCACGACCACCATCAATATCGATATCAACTGAACTAAAGGAGCGTAACCTCATCAAAAGGGTTATCGTCGACCACCACCACCACCATCAATATCGTTATCGATTGAACTAAAGATGCATAACCTCATCAATACTCGAAAAAGACATGACGTCCACATGCACCACTGTTGATTGTGCCTTGTTCTCCTTTCAAGGGTTGTCATTGACCACTACCACCACCATCAATATCGATATCGATTAAACTAAAGGAGCATGACCTCATCAAAAGAAGCAACATTGAATGAATAATTGATGGCGATTGATATAACAAAAGCTTAGAAACCCAACCCTTCAATGTTAGCATCATCATCGCAAACCTTGTGGCTATATTGATTCCCACATCTCTGTGTGTGTGTGTTGGGGGGAGGGGAGACGAGATTGTCTAAGAAGGGTTTAGGGTTTTGTGGTGAATAACAATCAAAGAACGTGCTAAATACACACTTACGCTCTGTTTGAATTGAGGAGTTTGGTGAGAATAGGGAATCTTTTACTTATTTGGATGGTTAAAGTGCATATAAAATCCACATGTCATATTTATAACGAAAATACCCATTAAAAATATGTCATAAATATGACATTGCACATTAGATGCACATTTTTCCGTCTGTTTTGTTAACAAAATAGATACATAAGGGTTAGATTGAAAACTTTCAAAAGATGAAGAAGATTCATTGTATCAATTTTTAGTTTGAGGAGATAAAGTGAAAAACGGTAATAGTTGAAAAGAAAGTGTAATATGCCCTTTTTCCAGGCTCAAGTATTTTTAATGGACATAATGAGTGTAAAAAGAAAGAAATATGGTGAATAAATACCCCTCATAAAGGGATAACCATGAAAAAAATGAAGAAAATTAAAACAATAATTCTGTTAACACAGAATATGGAATACACAACTGTTCACAGAAGGCATGATACTGTGTTATAATTATAATTTTTTTTTTTTGAAAACATCATTAAATAAATTTTTCAGTCAATATTAGATGTATATGTGCAAAAGAAAAACAAAAATGCAAATAGTATTATATGGATTCTTTTTTCATATTATAGAACAAGTAACGCTATATAAATAGAAAAATTATATAGGAGTAGTGCTATACAAACATTACAAGTTATATGAACATAATTTTTATCATTGTTACATTATTTTGAAAGTAAACTCTATATAAAAATTATGGCGATATATCACTAAATTTATAAATAAAAACAACCACTACAAGTAATAATCAAACACAACTATAATTCATTAACCAAACATTCCTAATTTAATTAATTATGGTGAGAATTAAAAGTATTTTGAAATGGACAACCATCTTTGCAATTAGCAAAGAAGAAACCAAAATACTACCTATAATAATACAAATTTTCCAGACTCTAGCAGGGGCCACAGCCTCCCTAGTCCTCCTGGTCCGCCTTTACTCACATAAACTTCTGTGAATAATTTTGTGTTCCTCTTCTATGTTAGTAGAACTATTCGTATTAATATTTGCTTCTCCCTCTCACGTATTCCATCGTCATTTGGATTATCAAAATATTCACATTTTCCAAATTTTTTAACTCATTATTATTCATCTCGTCTCAATTTATTCTTTATAATTTCAATTGTATCATTCAATTTTTTAGTGTGTCAGTCTATTCTAATTAATGACATCTATTAAAATATTATACATAATTCAATGGCGAAATAGTTCATTTATAAAGAAATGAACCATTTAAAAAAAATAAAAATGTTCTCCACAAATCACTTTGATAAATATTGTGGCCTAGCTATGAGGTGGCTATGTATGGAGTGGTGGTTAAGATGAATAATGGGGTAAATTGTGATAATTATCGAGGGCTAAGGGAGAGAGAGCCAATGCGTACCATAAGAACACGGAGGAAAAGAGAGATGGTGGTGGTAAATCACACATCAATGCCACCAATGGGCATTACACATTCTCTACGTCCACTATCTCTCTTATCTCTCTTATTCTCTCCATCAAAACTCTTAACCACCATAATCGATACAGAGGAAAAGAGAGATGGTGGTGGTAAATCACACATCAATGCCACCAATGGGCATTACACATTCTCCACATCCACCATCTCTCTTATTCTCTCCATCAAAACTCTTAACCACCATAATCATAGTTTCTGTGGTTCCTTTCTTTGCCTTAAAACTCCAAGCCTCTATACATTTTTGGGTCTTAAATTTTCACAAAAATTGCACTTTGATTTTTTCATTTTTAATTGTAACAGTTAATTCTTTACACTTTAAATCAAGTTTCAATCTCACATTTCCATCCATCTACCTTTAATAAAGCTAACAAAAATTAAAAGTAAAATGATTAAAGTGATTTTTAATAAAAGGGTGACGACAATAGTGAGATTTTAATAAAAGTATAAGAGTGTTAATGAAACAATAAAAATGCTACATATGCTTCAAATGATAAATTTCTTTAATTTTGTTAACGGTAAATGAATAGAAAGGTGATATTTCAAATTCACTTAAAAGTATTAGGGATTGATTGTTATAATTAAAAGTGAATAAATTAAAATAAGATTTTGGAGAAGTACTATATGTAATTTGCTCAATAAAGTACGTACTGCCCACACTTAGGGGTGGGTATTGGCCCATTGGCCTGCCCAGCTCGACCGGCCCGACCCTATATTTTTAGAATTTAGAAAGGTTGTTTTAGCCTATAGAGCCAGACTATGCTAATATTTTCAGCCCGATATATTAATGGGCCCAACTTGCTATTAAATTAATTAATTAATTATAACATGTTAAAAGTATATATTTTTATTGGGACCTAAATTTTACCTTTATTGATTTTATTAAAACTCACATTTACTTAAATTTATTGAAGAAATTCTTCAATTTATAATAATATCAACGTGTTCATTTTAAAAAATATAATAAGTAATTGAATTTAATTATAAAATATTTTAATTTTTTTAATATATATTCCGCAGGGATAGATTTAAAATTTAAAATTATTGTTTAAGTTAAACTTGGACAAAAATAGAAAACCGATGTTAAGATCGGATCGAAGTTAGACAAATACAAAATGTCGACCCGAGTCGACCCCACAAATGAGCACCCCTATCCACACAGTGATCAAGCCCTCATAAGCCAATGTATATTAATCCTTTATCGGCTTCCCAGTTCAGGTTGCCCCAACTCTCATCCTCACATCTCTCTCTCTCTCTCTCTCTCTCTCTCTCTCTCTCTCTCTCTATTGCAGTCGGCGGCATCAAAGTCTGCTTCTCTCTGGGATTGCAACTCTGAGTGTAAGTATATGTTTCTACACCATCCCTTTTAGTGCTTCTGGATTGTAATGTTTTTGTCTACATTTTGGTGTGGCTCAAAAGATTTTGGTTGGGTGGTTTCTGGTACATATGCTGATACAAATAATGGTGGAAGTGAAGAAGAGCTCAAAGGGTGCTCAGTTGAGACTTAGTTGTGCTAAGCTAGGAAAAAGCAATTAGGTAATTAAAGAATTTATTGTCACTAAGTAGTTAGGAAAATAGTTTTATGTAGTTAAAGAGTTGGCTTGTCCTCAGTCAGCCTATGTTTGGATGCACATAAATAGTATATTTTAAGGGGGTAAAAGGGAAAGGTGTGATTTTGTATTCTTGAATTTTATGTAGGATTGAATAAAAAAAGAAGAAATAGAGAGACCCTTGTGCTCTGTTTTTCTACAAGTTTCCTCAATTCTTCAATTCTATTTTATTTTAAACTCACATCAATTGGTATCAGACACTGGTGTCACAACAAGTACTAAGCTCAATGCTTTCTCTGAAATGGTGGAAAATGTTCAAGAAATAAAAGTAACCAATCAGGAAATGAGGGAAAATATTCACTACCTCAAATTTTTTTATCAAGGAATTAAGTTGTGAAGAGGAAGGAATTGGAATTGAACTGGCAGAATAAATGGAATTGCAGTGCTTGGAGAATGAGAGAGCAACAGAGGTAGTGTTGGATCAATTGGTTTGGAAGAACTACTGCAGCTACAAAATCTCACTTTCACCAACAAGTCCGGCTACTAGGTCTCCTTCAGCTTGGGTCCTTTGCAGAACCATATATTCAACATCAATTATTCCCTCATTTAGGCCTTCAATCACATTGCCACGATGATTGACAGATTGGGTCCTGTGGCAACCATAAAGGATCCAGCAATTGAATTATGTAAAAGAGTAGAAGATCAAATATTTATTGGAGGAGAAAATCGAGATGCAAGGGTGCTCTCTGACCTGTCAATTGTTTGCCCCTACGAGATTGGGATCCTTATGGATTGTGGTGGAGAAGTATATCTCTGTCTAGAAATAAGAGTCTTCTTCAGGCTCAGTCTTTTTCCTTTTCTTTTTTTTTTTTTTTGTTTGTTTGTTTGTTAACTCCTTTGTTGTTTCATTAATTCTCCTTGTTTCTTCATAATTTTTTTTTCTTCTTGAACGTCTCTTTTTATTCTTCAAAACTGTTAATTTCTGGAGCATGTAAAACAAAAAAAAATTCTCCACATTCTGTTTGTCTTTTCCTTATTCTGTTTTCTGCAATTCTAGTTCTTCCCTTCCCTCTATGTAATCCTCATTTCTTCTTTATTATTTCTTGTGATTTCATCCAATGCCTTGGCTTTGTCATTACTTCTATCAAATGTCTTCTTGGCCTCTGCTCGTTCTTTTTGAAAAGCTTATTATTGGCAGACATATTTGCACTTCAAAAGTAATTTCAATTTCACTTAATTTCTCTACGTGGACCTTTCTTTTGTTAACTTCCTGCACACCCGTTGTTGTCCCTCTTGGCTAGTATCCTTGCACACTATACCTGAGCCTTTGCACGACACTCTCATGTACACCTGCACTCATGTACGCCTGCTCTGGTATGACATTCCCACATACACCTACCACATGTGCATCTTTGGAACTATTACCCTACTTGTTCACCCACAACCCATATTACTCGTCTCATGTTTGATAGTCGCTCCATATGTCACAACATTTCCCACGAGTGTGTATACGTTGCCAATCATCTATCTAGTCCAGCCTCACCAAACTGTGGATAATCTCCAAGATCCACACCCACCAATGAAACTGCAACACCAATTGTTCCTCTTTTCTTGCTTGTGTATTTCCTTAGATTAGAACTACCAACATAGGCTCTAATCTGCAACTGTGGCTTTGAATCGCTATCCCCGAGATGGTTGACCTCGCTTGAGTCTACCACTGTGTGTCAGGATCGGCAACCATTAGCTCTTATACCATTTGTTGAAGTGGACTATCTACCAGACTATCCAAGTTATGTATTCCTCCAACATTTGTACATCACACCAGCATAAGTCAGTACTCTTTTCAGCAACAATTACCACCTCCACCACTAATGCAATCACACTTTGAAAAGAGTGCAGTGCTCCATTCCTTGTTCCGGCACCAGTAGGCACAACAAACTGTCAACTACCAATATTGTAGCATTTGTCATCCATAATATTACTTATATTGGCTTTCTAACAATTCTTTAAGGTCATCCATTCCGAGGGTGCCGTAGATATGATTGGTTTTACATTGTTCTTCTCTTAACAGTGAAGGTTATACAATTCATTTCACGAGGAAAACGTTCCTTCAATTTACAGCTGTCTAGCCACAACAGACCACCTCTAATATCCATTCACTAACACAAATACGGTGACAGTATAGCCATCCTTCCATCTTTATCTCCGAATAAATTTGAAAATTTGTATATGTTCTATCATCTCCAATTTCCATCATAAACCAATATCCTAAGGGTAGGATATTGAGAAGGATTATGAAACAACTTTTGAGTCATATATTCTCCAATGTCAATCAATCCAAGAACATCAACCGTAGTAGACCACAAATACTTTAAACCTAGCAGTATATCCAGTGAAATAATAAATTTCATACGTAACCCCTACCAAAATGATAAAAATAAATTAAACCCAAACGCAGGGAAGCCATTGCATGATGATCCAAATCTTAGGAGCATAATACAGGTAAAAATCAAGCAAATCTTAACAGCTTATTTAATATATCCTTACCATATATACAGCAGCTATGTGCAAAGAATAGTAAATTTTCATTCTCTATAAAAGGTCAATTTTTCCCTTCTTTATACTATTCAGTTTGATTTGCTTTGAGGGTATTTTGGGGTATGGCAATTCTACTTACACCATACTTTTAACTCTTTACATCGTTTAATTTAATTTTATTTCTATTCCTATCTAAAATTACCAAAACGACCTCACATCCCATATTTTGAAAACCCTAATTTTTCATTACACCTCACACCCATCACCACCACCTCCATTAGCCCACCACTGTCGCCGCCACCCTTTCCTTCCACCCAGCCCCTTTGATGGTAGAAAGCACACTCATCTGAAGCTAGTGGTCTCTTCTTAGGCTTTGCAAAGGTCGGATACTGATGGACAAACGTTGCAACAAAAGTGATCGTTGAGTAGGAGGCAAGAAGACAAAGGGAGACAGAGGCTGACTGGTCATCTTGAGATGGGTTTTCTTAGAGAGGAGCTCACAAATAGTAGCATCCACAAAAAGGAGGGGAGACTAGTGAAGGATGCCACCACGAATAGCCTTAAACTAGAGAGAAAGAGCCGTTAAGAACTATACCAAACGACCCTCCTCTCGAAACTACAAATAGGCATCCAATACCTTAATACTAGATAGTTCCATGAGAGCAAGTTGATCCCAGAATCCTGTCATCTCAATGTAAAAATTCTGAATAGACTGATCCCGTTGACGAGTACTCTAAATAGTTGTTTCTATACCGCTTGGCAAAGTTGGAATGTTGATAAACCCCGAGTAAACAGTCACACACTTCCTTGGCAGTAGTGTACTTGGAGAACATCATGCCAATGCGATCTCCACTGAGTTATGAAACCAGGTCAGAATTTGGGCATTATTACAATCCCAAGTATCACAAGCTATGAAGCATGGGTACTTCAGAAAACTTGTCGTACCCGTATCGGGTACTTACCAGCGTACCGTATCTCGTATGGTACTTCTGCATACGTACCAGGTACACGAAACACATACCCAAGTTTTTTCTTCTTAATTTTTGACGTACCCAGACGTACCTAGTATATATTTAAGTCGTACCATACCTCAGTTGAAACAATATTTTCCTTTTACTACAGAGATAAAACTTATTTCACTAGACTTCTTTTTTATTTTTTGTTTAATGCTTAGCATGATTTTAAAATTAAACTATAGTTTGTAAGTTATTTATTATATTGACATTTAATTTTGATTTATACTTTTATTTTTGGCATTAAATGTCAATTATAGGTTGGATCTTAACAAATTAAACCATTTAATTAATTTTTGTATTACTCTAAATTAAAAATAAATATTTTTTACAAGCGTACCAAGCCGTACCCGTACCTTATTTTTTGTGAATTTTACCATATCGACGTACACGTACACGTACCCATACCCGTACCCGTACCCGTGCTTCATAGATCACAAGCAATCAGATATCCATCTTTTTGCGAGTCTGATGGACGAAAAATAGAATCAGAAACATATCCCAATTTTTTTTTGGCTGAGAAGAAAATTTTTCATAACACTAGACCAATTAGCATAATCGTCACCGGTGAGTTTGCATTTGATAGCCTAAATTTTATCTTTCGACATCGTAATGGACCAGAAACAAAGAAGAGGACTGATGAGGCAAATTATAATAAATAAAAGAATGTTGGGTCAAACTGAAATAAACCTAAAATAGGGTTTAAATGCACTAACCAGAGTTGATAACCAGAGTGATAATGCACTTGCTCGATAATAGAGTGATATTGGGAAAGAAGAGACTTTGTCGAATTGAGCACTCCCATCGTGACATCGTCTTCTTTCATTCTCTTTTCTTCTGCCTTTGCTGTCTCTTTCTCCTCTTCTTGTTCTTCTTGTTCTCTGGACTGCTCTGTTTTGTTTCTGTTCTTTTTCTTTTTCTCCCCTCTCCAATTCCTCTTTATCTGGCCTTTTTTTTGTTCTCCTTCTTCTCTGTGCTGTACACATCTAGAATGTTCAATAAATTATTTGCTTATGTTGACTAAAGTATTTATGTTTTAAAATGTTCAATATTTCATTTTGCTTATGTTGAACCCAAAATTATTTGCTTATATGCCTTATATTAAATTATATGTTTTTTAACCTTCAAGGTGCGCCTTACTTCAATGAAGCCCACGCCACGCCTCGCCTTGCACCTTGCACCCAGGCCCTAGGAGACCTTGGCGCCTAGGTGGGCCTATAGCCTTTAATAACATTGACCTGGATGATGTAAATTGTTGTTGATATTTACCAGTAAACTATTCCTGTCAATGTTTCTTTCCAGACTAAAAATGGCTAAGATCACCAGGAAAAAAAAAAAAATCATCACTGCTTTTATTTCCTTTTATTTTTCCAGGTAGCTCTTGATTGTCTTTCCGTTGAATATCGGGGAGGGGTTCAACATTAGATGGCTTTATGACAACAGTTTGCAAATCAGCAAGGTAGAAAATTTATCTGTCTACTTGAGGCTGGTGCCATTTCTAGTATACAATCATAGACTTTTTAGACTATATTGTCCCCTTGCTATCTATCTCATTGGCTTGTCTACTAATTTAACATTTGATTCTAAGTAAACCCCTCTCATGTTCTGAAGATTAAATTGCTATTTAATATCTTCCCAGGAAATATGGAAATTAACAGCAGCCACAACAGTAGCATTATGTGGTTTTTCAAGGACAGAGGGTTTGATGATAAAAGTATTCATCAAATGTTCAAAAAGTGCAAGCGCCTCGATGGTGTGCAAAGAGAAAGAGCCTACGAAAACTGGGATTACTTGAGAAGCATCGGCATTCAAGATAGAAAGCTTCCTTCTGTTGTTGCAAAGTGCCCCAAAATCCTTACTCTTCATTTGGATGAGAAGCTTATCCCCATGGTTCAGTGCCTTGTTACATTGGAAACCAAACCCGGCGAGGTTGCTTCTGCTATTACCAAATTTCCTCACATACTTTCCCACAGTGTGGAAGAGAAGCTTTGTCCACTCCTTGCTTTCTTTCAAGCTCTTGGGGTGCCTGAAAAGCAACTTGGTAAGATGCTACTGTTCAATCCGAGAATCATTAGCTACAGCATTGAATCAAAGCTTTCACAGATTGTGGATTTTCTTGCGAGTCTTGGCCTGACTGAAGAAGGGATGATTGGGAAGGTTTTGGTGAAAAATCCTTTCATTATGGGTTATAGTGTTGAAAAAAGGCTACAGCCCACTTTGGAATTTCTAAAATCGATAGGCCTGACAAAACTGGATCTTCAAAGAGTCACAGTTAACTTTCCTGAAGTTGTGTGTAGAGATGTGAACAAGATTCTGAGACCTAATTTTACTTACCTAAAGGGATGCGGGTTTGAAGGTGGACAGATAGCAGCTTTGGTGACTGGTTATCCCCCTATTCTGATCAAGAGTATCAATAATTCTTTAGAACCGAGGATCAGGTTTTTGGTAGAGGTAATGGGGAGACGACTTGAAGAAGTCACTGATTATCCTGATTTTTTCCGGCATGGTTTCAAGAAGAGGTTGCAGTTAAGGCAAAAGCTTTTGAAACAAAAGAATATATATTGTAGCCTGAGTGAAATGCTAGACTGTAATCAAAAAAAGTTCCTATTGAAGTTTGGTTTAATTGAATAATTTGTTTCGAGTACTATCTGCACACCCTTCCCTTTTTTTTTTCTTTTTTTTTTTTAGCATAGTTTGATCATGCAGTGAGCATCTTTCATTTGTATTTAACTTCTGTAATCATCTCTTGATAGACCATTGAGGATAAAGCTTTGTGTTTCACGACTGACTCATGTAGGTGAATTAAAGTACTGAGGCATGCAAAGTTTTAATGCTCTCACCCAATTTTCGTGACTAGAGTTTCCTTCTATGAATGTGTACGGTGTTCTCTTATATGCCTTTTCACAAGAATGATGATTATACGTTCAACACTCGTTTGTGCAAGGTTTGGTGATTTCAGTGTGACAACGTACACATTATGCATAACTTTTATGCCTATAAACTCTCTAGTCAAGTACACCTCTAAGGCAGCAAAATGATTTTACTACCCAAGCAACTAGTTCCTGATTATGGCAATATCAGTTGCATATACATGTCAATATCTGGTTCCAATGTTTTTTATCCAAATTAAATTCCAATAGGCATTCTATCCAACAAATTTGACGATTTTTTTTAATCCTACAACTAATAATGCAAAACAAATATAAAATTGAGATTATATGTTTGCATATTGATTGCAAAACAAACATCAAGCTAGATAACAAAATCTACACTAATCTGATGTGTTGTTAATTCTCCTCACCATTAAGAAGAGTGACTTTGTTTGGTGGATAAAAAGATTGACTAGTAAGAAGAGTTGATATATATATATATATATATATTTTGATCTGAGAAGAGTTGAGATATTGTAATAGGATTATATCATATAATAGGTAAGAAGGCAGATGAAAAGGGGTAATTGCAATTTGTATTCTTGAAGGATTCCCTGAACAGTTTGTTCTCATTTTTGTTATGATTTGTGAGACTGTCAGCTGCTTAACAAGTGGTTATCATAATGCTCGAGTTTTCTTGAGTTCTAGTCCCACTTGCCATGCATAGTTGTGAATGATATACCTAAAGAAAGAAAATAAAATTGAAGATTTGAACAAGATTAGAAGTACGAGCAATCGGATTGTCATTTTGTCACCAAGAAAGTGGAAACTCAACACAATCTAGCATTCTAATGTCAATATATTCACCAAAAGATGGTTTGAAGAATTGGCTAACAAAGCAACATAAATGATACCAACCCTACTATACCATCACTCAAGCCCTGCTACAAGAAATGGAAGAAAAAAAATAGCCAAATTTAGGTTAAAAATCACAAAAAGACAAAATAAGCTAAAATAGCTAATAAGACAAAATATCACATCAAACCCATAATCATTTCACTTTTTCTCTCACAAACATCACATCCAACCACAAAAAAATCCAATCATCTTCCCAAACACAAAAATTTTAGCCTACTTAAAATAGCCAAAAACTAAAATAGCCTACTAAAATAGCCACTTCCCAAACGAGGCCATTCATTGTCTGTTAGATTATATCTCATGAACAAAAAGGTTTTTGAGAGGGGACTATAGTGATTATGAAGAAAGTGATGAGATGATGTCGAGGGGGGTGATTCTAAGTTCAAGAGTTACATTCTAATACAATAATTTACAAGATGGAACTTACATAATAATAATAATTAAAAAGCAGAAGAAGATGATGATTACTACAATATGCGAAACCTGAAAAGAGAATGTGTATTGTATGCTTCTGCTCTCAACCAAACTATCACACAGCCAGATAAGAAAAACTCATGTTTCTTACCTTCTGGGAAAGATAAAAGCAAGAACCTTCATTTTCAAATACCTACTTAAAATTTTAATAATTCATTCCTCCACTTCTGAATATGCAGAAAAGATCAAACTATTTTCATCATCATATTGCCTGCTGCTGATTCTAAGAAAATCTGTACAAATTACGGAAAATGTTCATCCCTAGATAAAGATATCCACTGAATAAAAATCTGCAAGAATTATGAGTTGAGTTCCATCAAACCAAAACCAGCCTTTGTAAAACTAGATTATATCCCGTATATATATCCACCACCGGCAAAGTAAGTTAGTTCCCCCGATCACTTCCACCACCAAAACTGTCGGAACAAATATATTTTCCTCATTCGGGCATTGTATGTCATGAATGCTCTGGCCTTGATTGGGTCAGCATTTAAGTACTCAAATGCATACATTTGCTTCGCCTCTTCCAACCCATCAATTTCCATTACGGCCTGTAGAAGTCCTTGGGCATCTATTGTATTCTTACTTTGTTCTAGTGCATCAGCCAAGTGTCGGATGCTTGATGCCACAGCTAACATTGCATCCTGAAGAGCCTCTGAGCCCCGAGCCCGCTTCGGAAGTTGTCTCAGAGGAGGGATAAAAGGGATGTCTTGACTTTCAGCTGGCATCTGGGCATACTCAGCCTGCCGGCTAGATGACTCTGTCTCAGTTCCATCTGTGTCGCTCAGTTCTTCTGAACTTGGTGAAAGGAATGATGCAGAATCATCTTCGTAATTCTTTATTTCCGTTTGTCGGCTTCCATTCGTGTTCCCTGTCATCCTAGCCCATCGACTAGGGGCTTGATAAATTCCACAAACAATTTTCAATTCATCATACATCTCAATTTGCTTCCCTCGGAATCCCCTTGCATCAGGATGTGCCTATTTGATTGATGCATTTGATGATCACAATCACCATTATGTAAATAAGGTTAGAAAAGAAACAAAGAAGACAAAGAAAACAGATTAAAAGAAAAAAAATAAGAAAAAAAATTTACTTACAGCAATGTATCTCTTCCATAAATCATCATTGTCACACTCAATCATCTTTGCTTGCGGATTCCAGGTGAACCCATCTTGGTTCATCATATCCCTCATTATCTTGTACCTCTTCTTGATTGTCTTGAGACGGTTGACAACTTTCTGGTTATTTAAAGACAAATTGAAACGAGAGTTCACAGCTACACAAGCAGCCGTATATGCATTTTCATTAAAGCACTTGTCAATTTTGTTCCCATTTCTAGCCTGGATAGCGAGGGCTTCAATTAGACACTTGTCCATTGCAACAGACCACACAACATTCTTCCCTTTATGTTTCATCTCCCTTCTTTGACCTTGCATATCATTGTGGTCCAATCCTATAATTCATTGAAACCATAAAATATTATCTGACACAATAAATTTTTTATTTTTATTTTTAAAATGAATACACACACACACACACATAACTCTAAGAAGACAGTGCAGCAAAGTAACATCATCCTAGTAACAGCAGTAACATATGCAATGTATTATCAGGCATAAAAGAACATTTATCTGCAAGAAACAAAGAAATGCAGTAACTAAGTACCACCATGGTATTACATACAAGCCCTTATGATTTGTCATGTGGCCATCTCATGTCACGTCTCTTAACATATTTTGAACGATCTAAGGAGAGAAAGGAATAACCTTTAATCAACAAGACAAACTTTATAAACAAATAATAATACCAAGTGTTGTATACTAGCCAATGTTGTCTCATTTGTAACAAGTGCACATGGGATAGACAATTTGCCTGGTGCTGGTCCTGCCAGTTCAGGGTACAGTTACTAAACTTCAACATTAATATGCATGAAATGGCAGTGCAGCCCTGGGTTATACTTGCTTCTCACAGTTGATCGGCCTAAAACTTTTACCACTGCACCAAGCAATGGCCCTAACAAGTGCAGCGATGCAAAACAGAAAACTTAAAAATATAAAGGCATTAAAGAAAGAAAGGGCAAACAAAAAGGAATTGATCTCCTAGGGTTTCAAAATCTTTATCTTCCAAACATTGGAAGCACTTGCACATCCATCCAGTAACTAAGAATGCTCAGTCTACTAAACAAACATTTTTATTTATTGCATTCTACTTCGTAGATGACGAGTTTTCAGTTTGAATTCCTGGACCAAATATCCATTGCACACCTCAAAATCATACAAATTCTAAATTTCACTATAATCCTATAGAATTACAACTTATTGACATTAAGTATCTACCAAGTAGGTTTAGAATGCTTTCAGAAGCAATCCCCATTACAAATCAGGAAATGCACAAAAAAATACCAACTCCCAAATAATGGGGCAATAGTACATAAAAGTGTAGTCAACTGTTAATCTGCCTGTAATGTGTGGTAACTGCAGCCTGATAGTGGCTTTATAATGTAAATGTGTCTTCTAGTCTATCTGGATAAGTTACATTCCCCTACACTCATGTTATTGAATGTAGAAATTGCTGCTTCACTTCATACACTACCATTTATAACCAAGCTTAGTAAGCCTTGCATGGACATGCAGCCATCAACCTGACTCGAACCAATTTTGTGTAAAAATGATTACCATTATTTTTGGAGCTAAAAAAGCCTTTGGCATTTGCAAAATCAAGATCTTGAAAAATTACATCATATCAAAAAGAATTCAGTCAAAATGAACAAACGAGCTTGAAGTTATGGTTGTTTGAAGTTTAAACACCACAATTTCTAAATTTCTTTATAACCACTAATTACCACCACAAAAATTTCCAAAAGACAAATTTCTCTATTGAAACTAATAATATATTTTTATTTTTATTTTTTGCAAATTTCTCCATTGATAAGATGCAAGCTAGACTTTGAAGCAAAAAATCCAAGATTTCATAAAAGAAGGGAATATCAACATGGCAAATGAACAGGAAGCTCCTAAGAACCCCAACTAGCAAATGGGAGTTTTTCATGCTCTGATCTCAACATGTTGGGCTGAGAAAGTGTTCAATTTCCAACATCGCTTTGGAAGAGCCGTGAGTGAAGGTGAAAAGCAAGCTAATTTAATCAGTTTCAGCCCCAGAACGCACTCCCTCTCGATCCTAGGACGGCTTTAGGCCAGCCCTTATTATTCGTACCATTACTTTGGAAGGAAACCCATCAACCCCGCCGCTTTATTCATGATCTTGGGAGAACAAATCCACCAAAACCTCAGCAGTTAGCTACTAGGTCTTCCATCAGCACATGCAGACCAGGGAGGAGCTCTCCCAATGCAAGGCCAATATCAACACATGCAGACTAGGCCTTCCATCAACACAGCATACTTTCTTCTTTTTCTTCTTTCTTAAACAACAGCCTATGGTGTTTGCAACGTCCAGATCTCAATAAATTCGTGATCAAAAAGAATATTCGTCCAAAACAGACAAATGAGCAAAGAATCATAGCTATTTGAAATTTGAATAAAGAAAATTCACTACCACCACAACCATAACCAAACACCACCAACGTCGCTGCCACCTATGAAGAATGAGTACTTCTAGAAGGGAGTTGTATCCAAAACATACTCGTATTGGATATCAATACTCATCAGATTCACATCTGATATTTTGTAAACATATTAAATACTTGAAATTAATTTTCTTCAATTTTGAAAGTATTGGATGTTTTTCAAATACTCTGCTATGAAATTTGAGATTGGAAGAATTCTTGCATAGCATTAGAGTATGTATGATTGCTAGGATAAATACAAGAATAGTTTTTTAATACTTTGCTTACTTCTTAGAGAAGAAGAAAATAGTGAGATTTAATACCCTACTTTCTAAGAATTTTCTGAATTGAAGTATATCCTTAATGTGTCCCATATCCATACAAGAATAAAAATGATTTATACAATAGTTTTTTAGAACCAAAAAAAATTTACTAAAAAATTGGATTAAAACAATTAAGCGAGTAAATTTGAGGACAACACATTTGCCTATAATGTGAAAGGGTAAAACACCAAGGTAATATAAACAATTCTGATTTGCTATTGAAATGAAATTTTTATAGGACCTACCAAAAAGAATAAAGTAGTTGTTACGGGCTCTTAAACTAATACCTAACTTCTAAAAAATGATTCCTCACCATTCTTTGACCTTATATATATATATATATTAATTAGAATACTAAAAGTCAATAAAATATATAATATATAGTTTTACGAACGTATCCTATATATACCCATATTCTATTTTTTAAGGTTTTTTCATATCACTATATCTGTAGACTATATCGTATTGTATCTGTATTTGTGCTTCATAGGCCACTACCACCAAAAACTGAGAATTTTTCAATTTCCACTCCCAACAAAAACTGATAGTTTTTCAAAATTCAAAATTCAAAATTTTCAATTATGGAATGTAACATCAATTGTGTTGTTTTCACTGTACAATAGGGAAATCACCTCAAGAAATTATACTTAATTTGTAGCCCTCATATCCCAAACATATTGGCCTCATTTGGAAAGTTGGCTATTTTAGTAGACTATTTTAGTAGGGTAAAATTTTTGTGTTTGGAAAGATGATTGGATTTTTTTATAATTGGAAGTGATGTTTGTGAGAGAAAAACTGAAATGATTATGAATTTGATGTGATATTTTGTCTTATTGGCTAAATTAGCCTATTTTGTCTTTTTCTAAATTTTAGCCCAAAAAAAAAAGGCCAAAAACCCACTTGCCAAACATGGCCATTATTTCGAGGGGCATTACATGCTAAAAAACTTAAGAATGTATTGCACGTTGCACAAGGGTTACATGAGGGGTCTAACACTAATTCATGCTTTCTAATATATGAGTATTACTATAAAGACAATCTTATAGAGTACGAATCCCTTTTTTTTTTTATTTTGATCAGTGAAAAAAGAGTATTAATACTATACATAATATAACACATCAAGGTGAAATTGTGTAAGACAATAATATAAGAGAGTAGCAGTATTATACACAATATAACAAGCTAAATGACTTCAGAGATAGTAATTGTTATCTTCACAGCCATAGTGGCTAGAGAAACACGCTTGCCATATCTATGACTGCGAACATAGTAATTGTTATCTTCATTATATAATTCTTACTATAAAAAAATTAGAATTCCATTTACATTATACCCATAAATATGTATAAGAACTAAGATTTTATATATATCCTTGCCACGTCTATGTCCTATGTGCTAGAATTTTCCATGTCAAATTGTCTGTGTCATGCTGTATTTGTATACATCGTTCATGTATTAGCTATATAAGGAACCATTTGTAATAGACAGATACAACAACATATATCAATCAAATACAATCAATAATAATACATCAGTTTGTATACAATCAATAATAATAACAGCCCCCCGCAAACTCAAGGATGATAGAAACTAACCAACTTCCCTTTTTTTTTTTTTTTTTTTTTTTTTGACAAACAAGCACAACATGTATCTAGTAAAAGAAAGAGAATATGTGAACTTGTGTCTATCTGTGACTCTTCATTTTTTTAGCTCTTGCTTTGGTTGCTGTTGAAAATAAATGTGCTTGGACCAATACCATAAAGTTGTGCATAGATAAATACATCAACTAGTTGCATTATATACCTTTAGGCCATGTTAGTTTGGGCGGACTGGATTAGCATTCCCATGACTAATAGTCCTAGGACTACGAATCCGTTGAATTATGTATCCTGTCTTAACTAATAGTTAAGTTTAAAATAATTAGTCCGTACTTCAATTGTTTAACCAAATATCGGATTAATAATTTTATTGGGCTATTAGTCCAATCCCAAGCTCATGTCCACCCAAACAAACATGGCCTTAGTTTAAAGGCTTTATTTTTGGATAACACACTATTGGTTAATAGTAGTGCAACCCTGCTAGCATTTGCTTATTAATTAATGTAGAAACTAATAATTACTTATTAAAAATTATAAATTAGATTAATATGTAAATTATTTGTTTAATAAAAACTTCATTATATGTAAATATATATAAATTTTAAATATATTTAATAAAAAAGTGAATCTTACGATTCACGATTCAAAATTTTAACAAAACGATTCACGGTTCCTTTCGCGATTCGACAACCATAACTATAACCATAGTACATGAACAGTAAAGAAGAAAACATTCAACTGATCATACACAAAGCTTCCAATTTATGGCATTTCCTCAATTGGGGTTTCCAAATAAACCTACAAACCTCTTAACTAGAAAAGACACCTTGTAGTTCCATTACATGGTTCGAAATTGAAATAAGAAATGTCGAAAGCATTGATCAAATTTCAGATAGTGAATCAATGGAAGAAAGGAAACAACAAATTGGGAGCTAGCAACGCAATACCAGCTACAATAATTGAATGTAAT